AACTGGGTTGACTGGGACCTCTAATCCTAGTTTTTTGAAGAATCTCCACACTGATTTCTACAGTGGTTGTATCAGTCTACAATCCTACCAATAGTGGAAAAGGGTTCCTTTTCCCCCAAAGCCTCTCCAGCATTTGTTATTGGTTGATTTCGTGATGATAGCCATTCTTTCTGGGGTGAGATGGAATCTCAGCATTGTTTTAATTTTCATTTCTCAAATGACCAATGACGTTGAACATTTTTTCATATATTAATTTGCTATTTGTATTTCTTCATCTGAGAAGTGCGTCTTCACTTCAGATGCCCATTTTTGGATGGGTCTTTGAATGGGGAGGGTTCATTTTTTTCAGCTCTTTATATGTTCTAGATAGAAGTAAGGACCCTCTTCTTAATCTTCAAGTATTACTTCACTTCACAGGTAATTTCCTATCTGAGTCTGTGCACTTTCCCACACATAGCTATGACCTGCTTTTCTACTTAAGACCAGTGACCCCAAATATGTTTATGCTTAAATATGTGCCATCACAAGGCTGCTTCCAGCTGGTTGGATTAAGAGACTATAGAGTGAGTGAATCTGATAGTACTGAATGGAGTAGCTGAAAATCAGCGCACACATTGCTGACATTAAAAAGAAGAATGCATTGAGCTTAGACCCTGTGTCAGGGCCACGCAAGCTCATCATCTCACTGAGGGGACAGTGGCCGAGAAGGAAGCTGGCCAGCCCATCTGGCAATGAGCAAAGCAGCTTGACCTTGCATAGGACACAGTGCAGATTCCAACCCAGGGCTCCTCCCATTTAGGTCAATTTTCCTGCCTGTGTTGAAAGTCCACTTTCAAAGTCATGTACAGGAGCACCGTTATTGTTTGTATTTGCACTGTGCGTAACTCACACACTGTTACCGCATTCTCATGTGTTATTCCGTAGGCTCATGACAACTGCCAAGTTAGAAAGCTTTCCAGAATAATTCACGTTTGGAGAAAGATTCAGCCACTCGAGACACTCGTACCAGGCAGCCATAGGAACCACAGCTTGAACTCGTGTTTTATAGAAGTTCTTTTATGGAGCTGAATAGACCCAAATTCCTGCTTTGTATTTTCAAAATGAATTGGTTATTCATGTGTACGGTTATTACCCCTCTCTTCTCTCTATTTTTGCTGTCTGGTCGGTGTAGCAGTGGCCTTTTGAAGCAGCTGGGATATAAATATAACGTGGGATTTGAGGCCCATTAGGAGTGGAGAACAGCTGACGAGGCAGCGCTGAGCTCCGGTCTGTGCAGGGCCCAGCCTCCCCACCAGCCCAGGCATGTTGGTTTCGGTCTGGCTGACTGTGAGCTTTATGCTGAGCAGGCGTTAATGATTTAAAGGCTGGCATAGGAAGCGGGGTTTCCTGCCCTGCGCCTATCCGTGTCTATTTGCAATCTACATGGTAATTAAAGCCAGACGTTTTGTTGGAGCATTACCTTCGGCAGCATTTGAGGTGTGGTATTAGACTTTATGCTCATTTCTGGATTATTTTTAAAGGTGTACATTACATGTTAGTAAAATGTTTAAAAATCGTTTATGGTTCCAAGTTGGTTGGCGTCATCCTTACCCATTTATGGGTGTGTCAGCTTGTGAGAGTAAATCCTTAGGTTGGAAAAGTACTTGTCTAAAAGCAAGGTGAGTATTTATAGTGGTGTTTATGATCCCTTCTGCAAACCCGGGCAGGATTTTCGGGTTTATGGCTTTGTTTGTTTCTGGAGGGGTCATTCCTCAAACTTTCATGAGCGGAGATTGCTGTCACTTACTGATGAGGGGCACTTACAGCTCACACTGTTGACAATAACTAACAGTTTTCTATCAAAAGCTAGAAGTCATGTAGGTTTTGAGTTAAAAATTCTCCGTATAAAGGGATGATTGAAAAACATGGTGAATGTTTAAAAGAGCTTATTACAATAAAAGACGTACGGCTAAGAACGATGGAATAAGTGTGTGTGGAGTGAGAGGAAGTATTTTGAGGGGGATTAATGGTGAGATGTGTCTTTGACTGTAGACACTGTCTCAAAATAAAAAAGAAAATCGGGTTGTAGTTATGCAGCAACACCTCGATTCACAGACGCTTCGGTTTGCAAACGATTTGATTCACAAATCAAAGTGATGAGCAAATTTTTGCTTCCGTTTGTAAATTCCACATAGGCTGACAAACACAGCCACAACTGTCTTTCCCCCACAAACACAACACAGCCATCTTCTCCAAAATTGCAAAACAAATTAAGTTTGGGGAGGGGGATATAGCTCACTGGCACAGCACCTGCCTGGCAAATGTGAGGTCGTGCGTTTGATTCCTGGTACCAAAAAAAAAAAGATTAAAAAATATTAAGTTTGTAACAAGGTACAACGGTAGCTGATTATGAAGACCCTGGGTTCAGTCACCACTATCAAAACCAAAACTCCTTACTATCATACTGCAACCAAATTCACTCTTCTTGTAGAGTTTTGTATCTTAGCCTATGTTACCACCAGAAGCATAAGCTGATTCTTTATTTCACCATGCTCCCGCCCACTCGCCACAGGGCTTTTGCACATTCCTTGTCCTAGACTGTCCTTCCCATTTCTCCAAGTAAACCCCTGCTCCCCTTCAAAGAACTTCCTTGTGCCCAGATGGCCTGTCTGACCTCTGAGAAGTCACATCCTATGCACCACTTGCCCTGCACTTAGCAGAGGTGACATTCTACATTTTATAGTGTGATTATTTGATTAATATCTGCCTCTCCACCACAATAAATGCTTTCAAGGACCAGGAAATATTGGGGTTTTTCCTATCATGGCAACCTCCAGCTGAATGCTGTCCCTGTACTCTATGTTACATACTTAATAAACATTTGTTCAATGTCAGAGAAATCTGCAGATTATGGATTATTTGAATTAGTTCATGTATCGTGTATTACTTAATGTTAAAAATGATGCACAGTGTTTATAATAAATATAATGATTCATGCATACATGAAGACAAGAAAGTGCTTTTATACCTATGTTCTCACCTCTTGGAGGCATCACTATTAATTAATAAATGCCTCCCAAATTTCTTCTCGATAGGTTTGACAATCATACATGTAAACGCCTACGCCTGGTAACTGTTTAGATCTAAAACGTCCCCAAAAGTCTGCATGAGAACTCCCAAACACACACTTTTCATACACGACACTCACCAGTGGTGAGTACAGTGGATTAATCCACTGCTGAGTTCCCAGCTGTGTTGTCAGGTGTGGAGGACCCCTGGGCAGCTCTTCTTGAAGCAGGAGCAATTGTCTCCCTTTTAGCTGAACCAGGCCCTATTTCCATGTACTGATGTGCGCAGAGCTGGCTGGGACTTTCCGTAGCCCCTCAATTGGCTTTAAGCAATGCACATCGGTGCTGATGTGTAGTCTTCTAAGCAAGGTGACAGGGCAGTGTTTTCCCTACCCTTGTAGCTCCAAAAAACCATATATGAGCCAGGGTGGGATAGAGAGTGGTGCTCCATGCTTTTAGCTGGAATTGAGCCTTGAGATAAGAGGCTGTGACTTCCAAGGGCATAAAAGATTACACATCAGAGCTGAAGCACTGACCTTAAAATGTTACCTACTAACTCAGTTGTGTCATGCAGGTTACTCTTTCTGCATATCCTTCTCTCTGCATATTGCAGAGGTGATTTCAGGCCTCCTACCTAGCCCAGCCTGAAGCACTCACATACTTCCCACCATTCTCACAGTCACTCATCCTCGAGCCACTCCCTTCCTCACAAACTAATAAAACCTGGGTTCGGCCCTGGGTGAAGGCCTTTGTTCTGGATGGCCATCATCATAGCTGGACTTAGGACCCCTTGGCTCCCCATAATTACAGATATGCCTTAGTGTCTTTCTTCTTACCATGGGTTGCACTGGAAGTGCAGATTGGAATTAACATGCTAGGATTCCAATAACTTTTCATGGGATTATAAATATAAACTTCCTGGGCCGAGAAGAAGACCGGGAAGGGCTCTCTAGTGTTAGGGACTTGGTTTGAAGAGGCAGACAATGAGCTGCATTCCCTGGAAGGCTGTGTCCCTCTCTCTACTTCTTCTTTCTCTCTCTGCTTTCTCTCTGCTTTCTGGCTGCCAACTGTGGGTTGAGCACATTTCCCTCTTCCAGGCCCCTCTGCCACCATGTTTCTGCCTCGGAGTCAGCTGCCCAAGGGCTGGAACCATGAGCCAAAATCAACCTCCCCTTTAAGTTACACGCTGTCAGGTATTTTGTCCCAGGGACGAGAAGGAGACAGAAACACGCACATGGATAGTTTCATAGAAAGTGAACCATAACGCTCCATATTTTTTGTTTTGTTTTGTTTTAGTGAACACTGAAGTGGAGCTATTTTTCTAGCTCTGCATCAAGTAGATCTCACTCATAAAAATGATGGTGAGATACTTTGGAAAGGTCTAAAAGAGAATAAAATGAGTGAACATGAACTTTCTGTCCAGCTTAATAAGGATTTTTCAATATGTGGATTGCGTTCCTAATGCAGCTGAAGTGACCATCTCCTTGAATCTGGTCTGTCTCATTTGCATGCATTGCCTCATCCTCTGACCCTTGAGGTTTATGTCTGTACCCACTGGACAGTCTCCGCATTTTTCCACATTTTACTATCAGTGGTAGAATTCAGGATGTATTTCCCACAACTTGCTATTTACACTCCACATTTTGCTTGTGAGATTCCTTCATTTCCCTTCACACAGAGGGCGTTACTGTGAGAAGATGGTGTGACTGGTAGCCCCACCTCCGCCCCCCCTTTTCCACATTTATAAATACTCTTGGGCCTGTCTTCTGCTGTGCTCATGGGGAGGGTTTCTCCAGACTTACCCTGGCAGGGCCAGGACATGTATCTCTCCAGTCGTATTAGGTATTGCTAAATCCAGTCCTTGAAAGTTCTTTCATTGCTGACTTTATCCCTGCTTAGTATCCCATGAAAATAATAGACACATTTATTTCATAGCAACCCATGAGATGTGCACTACTTTATTTCACGGCAACCCGTGAATATAATGTACAGTAATTTACTGGATTTTTTTCCTGGAGGGTAAAATAACTTGAAATGTAAACTCTTGAGTTGAGCTGAGAGCTGGAAGGCCCTCTGTGGTCTTTGCACCTCTGTGAGACGTGCTCCAGTCGGAGAGTAAGGTCAGTCATTACCACGGTGACGTCTTCTCTTCAATGGATGATGAAACCACATGAGGAATCCCGAGGCCCCCTGGATGCCCGCAGCCGGGGGAGGGGGAAGGGCCCAAGGCCAGAGCGTGGGAAAGGAGGCTCGCAGAGACCGCACCAAAGCCAGGAGGAAACATCCCCCCTTTGTGCGTCCCTGTGAAATCCCCAGTGAGGATCAGCTCACACGCTGCTCCTGGGCTGCATTGTCCTGGCAAAGGGGAAACAGATGGCGATTTAATAAGAGCGTGATAGCATTGTTTGGGGTAAGCAGGAGGTGTCCTCGGGGAACGGGAGAGAGGCACTCAGCTAAGAATCACAGCGGTTCGGAGAAGCAGCTCAGTGTGGCCACTTCCTCCCTCCCCGCCTCTGCCCCAGACCAGCCTGGATGTGCAGTCCTGCTACGATTCCTGCCAAATCTCCGGAGAACCAAGAGCTGTGACCCAAGTGTGTTTGTGTGTGTGTGTGTGTGTGTGTGCAGAGCCGGGGGGTGGCTAAGTAGAAAAGCACAATTAGCCAGTGGGACCCAAAGCATGGGGCGTGAGCAATGTGCTAAGGGCGGTGAATAACCCCATCCTCTCCTTTTTCCTTTCTGTGCGACCTGACCTTTGAGGGCCCCGCTGAGTAGCTACAGCTGCTGCCTGTTGTTCCCTTAGGAAGGGCAGAGAAGCTCTGTCGAAAACCCAGAAGTCCAAGCTCTGTCAACAACAAGCTGGTAGTGCTGGGAAGCTGCTCAGCCTCCCTGGAGCTCCCACCCTTTGGGAGCAGCAGGGAGCCCTCCACCCACGGCAGTGTGCGGCCCTTGGCAGGCCCAGCTCCGGAGCTGGAGTGGTGGGGAGCTACCCAGCAAGCACCGGGCGGTCCTTCCCGCCCTGCTCCGCAGGCGCAGCCCCGGGCTCTGGACGCGCAGCCCTGTGCAGCTGTGGAGAGTCCAACACCGCACCAGAGTGATGTTTGGGGAACCAGGAAAGCCGAGGTCACGGGGCTCTGGGGTCTGCTCCTGGCAGCTTCCCTCTCGGAGCCTGCATGATGGAGAAGATAGAGTCACACTAAGTGACAGCCCCCAGCCGGAGCCACGTCCTGAGATCTTGTCCCTCCAGCGGGTGGGGTGACGTCTTCCCCCTCTGCTTTCCTCTTGGCGTCACTCGTCCCTTACACTGCATCCCCCCGGGGTCCTGGGCTCTCCCCTGTCCCGGGTGCACCCTGTGTTCCCTTTCCGGGTGGTCATGGCCATTCCCATGGCTCCCCAGTACACACCCGCTGGCTGCGCCACTGCCGCCGCCTTCGCTGCGCTGTTTGGAACCTGCTACAGGTCACCTGCAGTCTGGTGTCGCAGGCAGATGTCTTCTCCACGTGTCCTCGCTGTGCTCCCCACCCGCACGCCCCACTGCCCCGTTCCTCCTGCTCTGTGTACCTGGGGGTGACAGCCCCACCCAGACCCCTGGAAGAGCACCGTGTGGGCTGCCCGCCGCTGCCGTCTCCCTGAGCCCCGCCCTCTGATGAGCCGGTCTGGGGGTTTCCACACGCTGCTCCTGTCCACGATTCCGCAAAGCACTGCTTCCTTTTCCCAGCTGCCTTTTCTGTGGTTGTGTTGAATAAAAGCCAAAACTAGCCTAGCGGTACAGGCCTGCCATTCCAGCACTCTGGGAGGCTGAGGCAGGAGGACTGAAGTTCAAGCCAAGCCTGTGCAACTTAATGAGACTCTGTCTCAAAATTGACAAAAAGAAATAGGCTAGAGGTGTAGCTCAGTGTGAATGCCCCGAGCTGTTCAACTGCTCGTAAAACACACACACACACACACACACACACACACACACACACACGTCAGACTTCCTCCTGGGACACGTAAGGCCTCTCTTGACCAGGCCTCTGGCTGCCTTCTGGCCTCTCTCACCTGCCCCGCGGTCACGCCCAGCCATCTGGAGCTGCTCGCACCTCCTCATTGGTCCCCGTCCTCTTCCCGTCAGCCTCCTGTTCTTCAGCCCAGCCTCCTCACCCGCCCAACTCACTGCTTCCCATGTGTCAGGAGGACAGGGGCATCTCTCCTCCCGCGGGGCTCCCCATGCCATCCCCAGTGGCTCCTCCTGGGGTCTCCATGGCATCTCACAGTGCCCTGAGTCATGGCTCTGCTGCCATCATTTCGGGAGCTCCTCCGGAGTGAAGCACAGCGACGGTTCTCTGCTCCTGGCACAGTGCTCAGCACTTGGGTGTGGGATACACAAACATATTCTGTAAATTCTCTTGGGGGTGGGGTGGGGATCCTAGGGTTTTAATGCCTCCCACTGTGTCTGTGAGACTTGTAGAAGGGACAAATCCTTGAGAACTTCTGTGGGTTCCAAGAAATCCTCACAACTAGCTGATGTCCTACATTCCCGGCCCCACCTGCCTCTGGCAACCCCACTTTGCTGTAATGAGCCCCCAGCTGGCTGCTGTGCAGGAACTCAGGGTGGATCAAACCTGGGCACCGTGGCCCCATTTAGGGACAGGAGGTGGAGAACGCGCTTCGGTGGTCCAGCTTCCAAGAGTCAGAGCTTTTTTTTTCCCTGGGAATTTCTGTCTGTGCCTTCGGCAGAAGCTTCGAGCACAAATAAAGCTCCTTGTGGAGCACAGATGTGAAGATGGCGTTTGCAGCGGGTACAGCGGGTGACAGCAAGCAGGGGCAGAGGCTGTGTGGTCTGTACTTCCCATCCTTCCTGGGGAGGCGACCGCAGACAGCCAGTCAGAACACTGCTGGTCCCCGTCGGCCTGCCTACCGCCCTCGATATCCTAGCTGTGAACACATCAAAGAAATATTTAAAATTCTGACAGAAATGATAACTCCAAGAGGGGGGGAAAAAAAGGATGTTTTCAGCACTGGATGACAGATGAAAAGCATCAAGAAAAGCAAAACCTTTTCCTGCGTGCTTGCCTTGAGCAAAATGTTGTGAGTTATCATTTTTGTCTCATGGGTATAATTTTTACCCCTCAAATCTTCAGGGTTATTTTTATGATTTCTGGAATTTCAAAAATGATGCTTTTGCTTACAGTGATCCTGGATAGTCGGCGCTGTAAATGAAAGCACAAGGGCGGTGAGGTGGGTTTCTAGTGAGAGATGAGAAAGTTATTGCCCTCCAATACCAGTGTGTGGCATGAATTAAGAGTTGGAAAAAAATTGAGCTATAGTGCCTTAAAAATACTCTATTTTTTTTTGAAAATTGGGGCAAAATGGATTTAATTATTGAGTTGTATATGGTAATTAAAAAGCAATCCATCTGTAATAAACTGCATATATTTTTCAATGAAGAAAGCATATAAAATATGACACTCAAATGATTAGAGTTGTAGGTAGATTTAGAAAGTAAATTTGAATAAGAATGATTCCTTTTATAGTAATTTTTGGCCTTTCATTTGGTCCAACTAAAGGCTTCTACATAAATCAGATTAAAGTTATTTACAGTTTTCACCTAGATTATTTAATTTTTAAAAAGTTAAGACACACTGTGTCGCACTGTAGCATTAATAATTGCCTCTTTTTAGAAGAAATATATTTAGGAAAATGTGCCTGTCCACATTTTCTTAGAAGCACACCTATCAAGATAGAAAATGATTTTTCAAACAGACATTTGGAACACCTTATGGGATTATGTTTAAAGTTCAGCAGCACTGCAATGACTGCCTATTAGCAGCAGAATTTCTCTTGTCCAGCTCTGTACTGAGCAGTTGTAAGATAAGACAACTGGAAAGATAATAAAACTTAACATTATGGTCTTAAAGTGCATCCATTTCCCTATAAATCACTGAAGTTTATCCTTCTTTTTGGCAGCATAGTACTCCATTGTGTATAAATACCATATTTACTGTATCCACTCGTCCGTTGATGAACACATAGCCTGCTTTCAGGCTTTAGCTAAACTGTTATGAATTGTGCTACTATAAACATCCACATGAGGAAAGTGAACATTATGTACTACAAACATTCACTAATGAAAAAAAGATAACATCATAACACTCACCCAGATGACACACGATGAAAACAAACCTTTGATTTCAGGCCCATTCAGCTCTCCTAATGAGCCCTGATGGGTCTTCCCTGAAAGCTAATGTGTGCCGTTCTCTTTATTGGAAATTAAAGCTTTCTGTGAAGCTGGAGGAAATGGTCTTGGCAGACTGCAACTTTAGAATATAATTTCAGCCCCAGTGCAGGTGCCCGTACATTTGCAGAAGCCAGATGAGTGGGAAAGAGATCTTCCTCACATCTCACCCTTGCTTCCCACGTCCTCCAGCTCTTACAAACCCCGGTTTCTCACCCTGATTCCTCTCTTGGAATTGCCCGCTGCCCCCCCCCCACAGTATACTCTGTCCTGAATGAACTCTTATCTTTCTTCATGTCCTCCTCGCTTTGGTGAATTCTTCTTACTCCATCTCGCTGGCCCTCTGCGTGTCATCTTGCGTGGCAAACATTCTTCTCGCGAGGATCATTCAATGTGAGAGTCAGACGCACAGGCTGTGGCAAAAAACGTGTCAGCCAGAACCCTTTCCTCATCACTGGGGAGAAAATCTAGGCTGGATTTCCAGGTCTCGGACAGGCAGCGCAGTCTGTGGGTGTCTCAGTTCCTGGGTTCAGATCACCCCCTAGACACTTCTGGGCTGCTATTTAGCTTTTCTGTGACTCAGTTTCTTCATTGGTAATTGAGGACTAATATTCCCTTCTTCGTTTTGTTGGGTGATAAATCAGTTCATGAAAAGTTTTAGGGTGCTTCATGGCTGCACACAGGACAGCCTCAAAGGTAAAAGAAATTATTGACCCTGGGAAGTATATTCTTTCTAAAGCGTTCGTAGGAATCAAGGGTGACTTAATTTCTCAACACCTATTTATTTCTTTAAATTTTTATCGGTACATGTCTGCAGTACTGTACATAATGATAGCACTCATCCCAGAGAGCTGATACGTGCACACAGTGTATCTTCTTTTCTCACCATTTTCCATGGCCAGTGCCTTGTTAGTACATTCAGACTCTCTGGTAGAGCCAATCATTTTTAGTAAAGTCTAAATTATTTGGTTTAAAACATCTTCTCTTCATGTCCTAGCGTAAAATATTGAAAATCAAAATAAGCTACAAGGAAAAAAAAAAAAAAAAAAGACAAAAAGAAGTGGAAAAAAGCTGCCCAGGGGAGAGGTTTGGGGGATTGTGTGACGGCAGTCATTGTGTTCTGGTGGCCCGGCAGCCAACTGTAAACACCGGGAGATGTAAGTAGGAAATCAGAGCCCGGAGCGATCACTATCGGCCGAGCAGGCTGCTCCTTTCTTCCTGGCCATTTCCCTTCCCCAGTGTCGGGAGGAACCACCCACTCTCGTGGTTCTCAGGATTGTAGGTTTTGAGGTCAAACAGGAACCCTGGGGAATGCCTGAAAAAGCCAAACAAGCGGTGACATTCTGCGTAGACTGGGCGACTCGGAGCCACCACTGTCTGCAGAGCGCTGGCTTGGGCGACAGTCGCTCCTCGGTCATCGGCAGCCAGGAGCGCAGTGACCCCGCTAAGGCTCTGTTCTGAAGCAGCTACTGTAGCCAACGGTCTTCTGGGGGGACAGCAGGCGCCCCGCGGGACCCCAAGGTGGCCTCGCCACCCCTCATTCATCCCGCAGACTCCGGCAGTGGGCCCTGCTCTTCGTCTTCCCTCGGTCCCCCATGGAGGAGACGCGGGAGCCTCTGCCCATGACCGTCCACCTCCTCGCCGACTGCGGCCACGGCTCGCTCCTGCAGCAGGCTCTGGACCAGCTCCTGGAGTGCATCCGCCCTGAGTTGCGCCTCTTCCTGGTGTCCGAGCGGGTCAGACCCGTGAAATATTATGAAAAGTTCCACCCTCGGCGTTCCCGGTTCCCGGGGATGTCTGTCCTGCTCTTCCTGAATGAAAGCCTAGGAGAGGAGCGGCTGCTCCGCGCCCTGGAGTCCCTGCAGCAGCCGCCCTGGCAGTGCTACCCTCCCCAGGACCCCCAGGGGAGGCTGTGTCCTTACCTCCTCGCCAGCCAGGAGTTCTACAGCCTGGACAGCCGGATGCCCGTCTGGGGCGTGAGGCAGGTGCACTGTGGCGCCGAGCTCCTCAGGCTGACGCTCTACTGCAGCTTTGATAACTACGAGGATGCCATCAGGCTCTACGAGATGATCCTGCAGCGGGAAGCCACTTTGCAGAAGAGCAACTTCTGTTTCTTTGTGCTCTGTGCCACTGAGAGCTTCTCCCTGCAGCTCTCCCTGAAGCAGCTGCCCCCGGGGATGGCAGTGGACCCCAAGGAGTCTTGTGTGCTGCAGTTCAAGGTTCAGGAGATCGGCCAGCTGGTGGCTCTTCTACCCAACCCGTGTGTCCCCATCAGCAGCACCCGGTGGCAGACCCAGGACTACGACGGCAACAAGATTCTGCTGCAGGTATTTCTCCTTTACCGTTACGATCTTGTTCAGCCACATGGAACTGGGTTATTTTAAGTCTCAGGGGCGAGTCAGGGCTAGTAGAGGATGCCCCTTCCCTAAATTGCCCTGACCGTGCAGGCTGACTGTGCACAAACTTCGCCCACTCTTAAGGGTAGGACCACAATGAGCCTTTCCACCTGACCTAAAAGAGCTCAATTTGTGATTGCGTTTGCGATGGTAAATTTGCAGGACTATGGCTTGCGTTCTTCATGAGCTCAAGCAAGGCTATGTAAGCATTTTTCACTTGATATCTATACAAAATGATCTAACAGTCATAAAGTTCATCATGAAGATAGTACCCAGAACCTAGTTTTAACTATGATTGTTCATACTATGCCTTAAATTAAAAATTTTCCCAATGGATAATTTTATTTAATCCCTATAATAATCTACAAAGTCACCATTTTTCCCATTTTTCAGATGAGAAAATTGAGGTATAAGAGGGTCCATTTAGTGGCCCAAAATATAGCTGGGAAGCGTCTATCATCTGCACAGTCTGTGTGGTTAGCTAACCCTTGTAGCAGTGTTCCACAGAGGTGTGTATGTGCAGAGGGATTTCTGCAGAGTACAGTGTTGTGTGGCTTCTGCCCTTGAGAAATAGGTAGGAACCCCTTTAAGGCTTGCTGGATAAAGTAATAAAAGGCTATGATACGAGTCATCTTTCCCTTTAGTAAATCTTGTTGTGAATGCTTTGACTTCTAAATTAATGAAACATGGGTCATACTGATTCCATAGTAAATGATTTCTAAATAATTTACCTTCCTGGGAGCAAAGGTGGATAGGCACTCTTTCTTTAAATTGCCTATTATACAACTCCTTACTTCCCAGAGCATCTGCAGTTTCTCTTTCAGTCTAGTTAATGAGCAGAATTTGAAATCGCCCTCCCTAGCAAACACAAGCATAAATGTGTGCATGCAGCAGAGGTCACGTTCTGACTCACTGCTGTTTTAAAGGCTAATTGATGTTTTCTTCTTCGGAGCCACAGCTTATACGATTACTGTTGTTACTTTGGAAAGTTGAATCAGATCTGGGGAGAGTGCAAGAGTTGTTTGGATAAAGCAAAAGCACATGAGGGATCTCAACATGCCTCCTTTCTCTTGGGACTGTTGTAGGAATCTGGTCTCCTTTTAGATGGGCGCACATTTTCATAGTTCCCTGGGTGACACCGGCTCTTTTCTGGTCCCCTGGCAAGCTTTTTAAACTTCCTGCGTTCTGCACCTCCCTCCAAGACACTGGCCTTGGTCTCCACCCCGTGGTCTCACCATATCCATGACTCTAAACTGTTATAAACAAAACCAGAGGCTGCCTTCTGGAAAATTCTGCTCTTCACAAAAGTGCTGAGGAAAGTGTACAAAGACGGAACAGTGGGAGTGAACTACAGTTATTTCAGTCTCAGATGGGAGAGCATTTTTTGGGACAAAAAGCCCAGCCCAAACTTTCTTGGGGTAGGGGTAAGGGAAAGGGGATGGGTGGCTGTGGCTTTGGCTTTTGTGAGTGTTGTGGTTTGTATCTGGATGTCCTCATGCGCTCATAGGTGGGGCTTTGAGAGGTGATTGGACCATGGGTATGTGAGATCCATCAGCGGATGAGTTTACAGCTAAATGTGGTTTGGGTGGTGAAGCCTGGTCACCGGACATCACTGGAGCGTGGTCTGGAAGGGTCTGTTTCCCTTCTTCCTCCCTTCATCTCTCTCTGATTCCTGGCTACCTGGCCATGAGCACTTCTCCTCTTCGATGCCCCTCTGCCATGCCACTCTGCTTTGGAGCCAGCTGACTATGGTCTGAAACCTCTACAAACCATGAGCCAAAATAAACCTCTCCTTCTTTAAGATGTAGTTGTTGTATATTGTGTCTCAGCCATGAGAAAATAAGTAAGACAGCAAGAAAGTGCAGCATGCTCTGACCTCTCCCACCTTTGTCTCAGCTCCGTCATCAGACCAGCTTCCCTCTGTGATGGGCAGCTGGCCACCAGCGTCTCTGAGGACCACATCCTTCGCGTGGGCTCTGAGCACCTCGCCCAGTCATGGCCCACAGCATCTCTAGACTCCAACACAGTTGGATTGGCTCGGATCCAATTGTCTCAGCCACATCAGTGATTGCGCTCAGGAGAAAGGGACTGAGTGGATTAGTGTAATTCTGGGGAGAAGGGTCTACCCTCTGTTTGGCTTCTGTGTGGAGCCGGACTGACCTGTGCAACCCTCGGGAAGGGTGAGGGACACAGTGAAAAGCAGAGTTGAGCAGATGGATGCCAACAGCCCCAAACGACTGATGTCCATCAAAAAAATAAGAAGATCTCTTTGGTGGAACATCATAACCACACGTTAACCACAGATTAACCTCTCTGGAGATATTCCTTCCCTGGCACCAGGATGATGGAAGCACGTAGGCTCAGGGGTCTGAGTGTGAGGCGCTAGACCCCAGCGGGCCATGGAAAGGTGTTCCTGAGCAGGGACGCCTGTCCTGCATGAGCTGATGGCACAGCAGGAATTCATCAGCTGCAGAGGGAGGAAGGTGCTCCTGACAAGGGAGACAGTGGGGGCACCTGCCTGAGTGTCCATGTAGCAGGAGTGAAGGGAAAGGTAAGGCAGATGGAGTGTGTAGCTGGACAGACCAGATCATCGGGAATATAGTTTGTCATAGCATGTGAGCACCACGAGGGCAGGGGTCCTTTCTAGCTCATGCCAGAAAGCTTGTACCTACCCCAGAGTCTGACACATGGTAGGTGAGTACATAAGTACATTCTTTTGTTTATTTATTCATTTACTTATTTATCTGTTCATAAATTTATTTGCAGTTCTGTAGATGGAACCCAAGGCCTCAAGCTTGCTAATCAAATCTTCTACCACTCAGTTACATCTCCAGCCCTTTTTTATGTCTTATTTTAAGGTAGTATCTCAATAAATTGTCCAAGCTGGCCTTCAGCCTCCACAGTGGCTAGTATGAGTGCCTTGTAAAACAGCCTCTATTCTAATGTTAGTGTCATGCGTGGTCCCTGGTGGGTCCTACGAATGGTGCCGACGTGTATAACCTGCCCTGTGGGAATCAGCTGAGGGCTATGCTGGAGGCGCAGTGGAAGAGAGAAACTGCAGACCATGAAAAAGCAGGGCAAGTGTCCTCTGGGTGCCACGAGTATGCGGGCTACACAATCACTTGTCACCGTGGACTATCTGATGCTTCTTAGAATCTCGAAGGCATGTGTTGGAGAGTGGAATTAGGGCATGGCATACATGCACAGTCTCTCAGCAGTGTCTCTGCAGCTGGTGGGAGTGACAGTGTCAGTCTGCTGAGGAGAGACAGGATGGACATGCCTTCCCTTAACATCCTGCAACTTAAACCTACTCATTTTAACAAGTTATTTTGTCAGAGCAAACACAGGCAGCATCTCCACTCGGCTGCTGCTGGTTCGCTGTGTTTTACAGCTGGGTCCTGTTGTCCAAAGACGCATTCTTTGTACTTTTCATGGATTTCCACCCAACTGGCTGTACTTGGGGTCCCTCTTCCTTGGCTTACCTGCTGTCATCCATCTCTCGGGCCCCTCTGGTTTGGACAGTACAAGCATAGATTCCATGGCGTTGGCATCAGGCTTCTGGCAGACACAAAATTCCAGGTCATTGATGATTTATTCTGCTTGATGTTCAGTGGGAAACAGTAAATTGCAAAGGTAAAACATCCCTGGAAGCTACGCAAAATCCATAATCCAGCAGTCATGACCGTGTGGGGATGAGGCAGCCATGCCTTTGCATGGTAAGTGGGATCTTAAGTGTCCCTCAAAGGCCATGTGTTCAAGCTTGGCCCCCAGCTTGGCACTATGGGAGGCGGTAGAGCCTTTAATGGGTGGAGCCTAGTGGGAGGTCCTCAAGTCACCGGGGTGAGCCCCTGAAGAGGATGGTGGGACCCAGGCCCCTTTCTCTTCCTTTGAGGAGGTTTCCATGAGTGCAATTTGATCAGAGCCTTGAAGGTGGATAATTGAGGAGGGAATTCAAGATGTCCTTGAATAAGACACAGCTGCAGAGATCTATGGATGCACTCATACGTACAATGGAATCCACTCACTCGTAAGAAGTGATGCAATTCTGATAAATGCTAGAACATGCATCACCTTAAAAACATTACGCTAAGTGAAAAAAGCCACGCTCGAAGAGACAAATATCGCATGATTATACTTACACGAAGTAACTAGAACAGGCAAGTCCTAGAGACAGAAAATAGAACAGTAGTTACCAAAGGCTGGAAATGAGGAGGGCTGGTGAGTTTGCTTTAATGAGCACAGAAGTTCTGTTTGGGATGATGAGAAATTCTGACAATGGATAATGGTGATGACTTTGCAGATGGACTTAATGCCACTGAAACGTACAATTAAAAAATGGGGGCTGGGGATTTAGCTCAGTGGCATGGCACCTGCCCAGCAAGTGCAAGGTTGTGAGTTCATCCCCGGTACCAGAAAAAAAAAAAAAAAAAGTAATCCCTAAAAAATGGTTAAAATGGTAAATTAAATATTCTATGTATTTTGTAAAATTTTAAAAAAGAAAGCTGGCCTCCTGAAGTTTTTCAAAGGTGAAAATAGTAAAGTTTTCTCAGGTTTATTTTACCACAATAAAAAGAATTTGTTAATTTTTTTCCAGAAAAAAACCTAGATGGAGCACAGATGACCCAAAGCAGGATTTAAAGAAAGCTATTTATTATGGATTTCAGAGATGGGACCGATGGGTCATAGCTAGACTATGTAATTTAGAGCAGTCACTGTACTCGTCAGATAGGACAGATCAGGTGGGGCATAAGGAGCTTCAAATGTCACCAAGTTCTGAATGAAACAGGAAATTCACAATGCAGATATGGAGTTGAACATGAGCTGCACTTCCGTGATGGAAAATGACAGGATTTGGTACCTTTTAGACATAAAAGGTGAAGAAGGTGGAGGTGACAGTGAATTTGGACATACTGTACTGGTTTTAGAACCTT